TCTGGCTTGCATCATTTCTCAGAGTCTGAAACACAGACCGACAATCCTTCTCAGATCAGGCTTCAAGTTTCTCACGATTCTCATGGGACAGTACTTTGGTACACTTCGTAAGTAGTGGCTTTGCTCTTCTTTTCTCATCCTTCAAAGTTGGGTCTTTGGATGTTCGCTTCCCCGAAGCCGAATCCTAGGCGGAACATCCGGATCTCGACATCAGATCCTAAAATAGATGAGCGGTGAAGAATGTGAGGATAAAAATTCGTATGGAAATTATATGAAAATTCTGCCTCAACCTTGACATTTTTGGAACTTTTGGAAAGGCTTGGAAGCTGGTAATTGGTAAACATTAGATAATTGGTAGATATAAGACTCAAAAGCTGTGTAGTGAGAAGAAGCTGTAGCTTTGGAGGAAGGAGGCCGCGGCTGCGCGGGTAGTCCCATTTGACAGGTTTGACGGTCTGCAGAAGCCAAGAGGAAAGATACACCTTAGGTGGGCTGAGAATTACAGAGGATATCGCGTTTCTGAGGGAAGAAGAAGATTTTCAATCAAATGAAATCTCGATTTCCATTTCCATTTCCATTTCCATCACTATCTCACCTAACGAATGCTTCTGTGAAAACCGTAACTGTTGTAATGTGATAATCATGAATCATGGGTGAGAAAATTCCCAGCCCCCTCTATTCTTCCAATCGAAACTTAGAAAGAAAAAACAATAAGATCATGATTCAATTGTAACGCGTCCATGGCGCGACTGCCAGTGTAAGCAAAACCTAGGTACGCCTACTCCGTAACAGAAGCCAAGTGCACCCCACTCAGGTACATCCAGGACCCCAGGTACTCTAGATGGGATTCAGCTATATGTAGCATAATAGGACTTGAGCATTTTTGCTCGCACTTGGGAAAAAGAGGATTATCGTATGTGTGAAATATAATTGTTTACCCGACGTTTATTCGGTCTTCTTCTGCCATTCTAGAAGAAAGTTTAGAAGTGTCTTTACTGGCATCATCGTGGTCGGTTAAAGTTATAGACCCCCTTCATCCTGGGGAGTTCCTTAGGTCAAACCCACTCCTCAGAGGAGGGATGTTCTGAAGGTCCATCGGGAAATTTATTCCTCAAGGGAAAATATCCAGAATGAAACAAAATTGAAAATGCCGTCATACGCGCAACTCATTCATGCGCCCTAAGAGATCATTTTCCTAAGGACTAGGGGTGGTAGGTGATTTACCGATACCTCCGTACTATAAGACACAAGATGTATAGTAACGGCAGTTCAATTTAGGAAGGGCTGGAACTGGGCTGCTAGGCTTTCGGGGCTCTCACCGATTGAAATGACAGATACTAGGGTACCGGATTAAACCCTGCGGCCTTCTTTTGAATGGCAGTAAAAGTAAAGATCGGTTTCGTACCCGTCCATCTTCCCGTGAGGTGCCTGCCGGCAGGCTCCAGGTAGCGGGAGACGAGGCCATGAGGTTGGATCTTTGTGCGGTAATGAATGGTATGAATCTGTGTCATGGAAAGCTACCGAAAGACTTGAGGGCTTGATTTGCCAATCATTTGCTTGCCCTACCTTGACTTGGGCACGCAGAGCTTACGATCATTTGATTAGGTAGATTAGGTAGAAGTGAACCCGGGAATATCATCTATCATTTGAGGCTTCACAATCAAAAGATACTGCATTCTGCGGCCGTTTGAGGAGGCCTAGTACAGTGACAATACAAGTATTCATGAGTCGTGAATGAATGGATTTGCTGCCGAATGGCGAGGCCCAAGAAATGGGAAAAAGGTGGGGATGGTGGTATGAGATGAGATTCAAAGAAGGCATTTTACTTGATGTTTTCATCTAAACAGCTTTTACGGTTTACCATCCGTTACCCGTGCTTTATTCACGATCTAGATGGTTTGATCATCAGCGACCATGAGTGAGACGATCATGAAGGGGAATCCTAATATTAAGCGAAGGGAAAATGCCACAATCAACAATTCCTGTGGCTAAAGATGATGAAAGTAAACAAATGATACCCCCAATGGGCTTTTTTTCTCCCACAAGAGCAACACGCGTGATCTTTGAAGTGACCTTTTTCAAGGGTATCACCGATTGCCTCAAAACACTTGATTGGTGCTCAAGGACCATCATTTTCTCGTTACAAGCTAAGCCCTGGTGGTGTCAACGGGAAGCCGGAGTTTAACAGATTATTCCAATGATGAGGAAGTGTAGAAAAGATGAACAAGGATAAGGAAACAATCGTATGCAAAACGTGAAGATATAACCTATCGGCAGCTTTCTTTGGGGGATTTTGATGCAAGCCCTCAGAATCAAGCATAACTCCATAGATGCCCAACCTGATGAGAGCAGGGAATAGGAAGGAGCCAAGACAACCATGTTAAGTTTGCGTTCCCATGGGCAATTCTCAGAGGGTTATAGAGATTTAGAGATGATTGTTGTGATCCAGTGCCCATTTTTCCCACAAACCGAGTCGAGATAATTTGTTAGGCATGATATATTTGAGAGCGGGAAGCGGTTGATGGAGAAAAATCATCTGAATTCTCTTGTGGTTAGTTCACAATTAGATCAGGGTTCTAAGACAAACCCTCCAGAGCTAAAATGGTATCTAATCTTTTTTCGGAGTCCGAGCAAGTTCTAACGGGTCTATTGCCCTTTTGCGAATTCTTCTCTCGCCTTTTGGAATATTCGACAGAAAGGAAAAAAGAAAAGAGACATAACCGAATGCCGACTGATGGTGGAACTATTTTCTATCTTGTCGAGCTTCTCTTGTCAAAGTAACCTTATTATTAATGATTGTAATCTACTCTAGGTAGTCAGTCAGCCTGTCAGATCTAATCCATTACCTCGGAGAAGAGCATGAATAATCCAATCAAAGCTTGAACCCCTCCCTCATCATATCATCCCTCACTCCCATATCGTATACAACATCTGGATTTACCTGGGTTCAACTGATCAAATGCAACTTATTCAAGGCTTTGAGCGGGAAATCTTAAGATTCGATTGCCTTGGATTCAAATGCAATTTGTAATGAATGCTTAATGGAGAATCAATCGTCTTCTCTGAATCTCTTGGACATTCTTTTCCCATTTAAGATTCACATCCAAGATGTAAAAGTAGGCACTATCATGCTGCTATGCAATGGAAATGCAAGCACTAATCGTTAGCACCCGCACTTGCCTTGCCTTTCCCGCTTTCATACCGCTGGAATTGAGGTTTAGTCTAAAAAGGAAAGAAGCGGTTTTGTTTTGTTTTGTTTTGTTTTGTTCTGTTCTGTTTTCTCTTCTTCTGGGGTTTTTGTGTGTGAGTGTACAGTACCGTACAGTACGACCCCATGCACACAATTTCCATATGGTTAATGATATCCTCCGGGTGCACAGAGTTGGAAATCTACGTATCGCGAACAATAGATCATCGAGATTGGAAGAGGTGATTAGACAGACCTAAACAGACCTCTATACAGACCCGTGAAGATATACTTCGTTACTTGATAAATACAGTAATGGGGGCGGAAAAGAAATAATAAGACAATGCAGTATAACTAACTATAATGAATCAAAATTAAATAATCAAGTGCCATTCGTATGTAAAGAAGAATAGCATAAAGCATCTCATAAATCAAAAGGCTAGAAGTCTCCACAAGTTGATCTCTAAGTTCCTTGACTTTCGGGTAGTACGATAAATCTTTCCCCACCCGCTGTCATGGCCCATTGCCCATCATTTCATCCACCTACTCAATTATAAGTTAGAGACTTTATTTGGCCCATTCATCCATTGACGCATTACTCAAAGAAGTATAGTGCAAGAGAGAGAGAGAGAGAAGGGTCCATCTGGTAACCATGCTACTCGCATCACCCCCCCTTCACTGCTCCCCTCCAAAAGTACCTATACCTAGTATCATATCATGTCATGGGTGAAGGATTGGGTAAAAAGAAAATAGACACAAACAAACACTCGTAATATGGTAGCATCGTAGTGTCGTTGTATCGTACTAATGTAGATTAAGAAGAGCTAGAAGAAGAATAAGGCCCTTGGAGGTTATGTTCATATATGTCTCATTATTCATTAACCCATTATTATCTCATTATCATTATTATTATTATTATATTATTATCACTGCCATTTTATTATTTCCCTTATTTTTAAAAACACCCGCGACGACCCATCCATCTCATGCTCTCACCTCATCATCCGTTTCCCAGATTTCCAGACCCCTCTCCCAAGATATCCACATTATCTAACCCATATCTACCAACTACATTCTTCTATTTCTACCTGCATACTTGACCTACTTTTCTAACGTGCTTCTTACTTCTCTTGTCTGCTGCACCGACTGCAAGCTCAAGTTCTACTACTTGCTGCACATTGTACTGCTACTGCAACTGTAACTGCTAGCAATTCTGCACTACCACTCCTACCACCATACGACCCATACGACCACTCGAACCAAAAAGGGACCCAACAGACTTATTAGACTTCTTACAGTCCTTTGTACCTCCATTCTCCACTTCAGATCAAGCCATACAATCCCTTCCTACTGTTTGTCTCGCCCGAATTACATCGGAACTCAGACTCAACCCACTCATACACCACGACTCTTGTCCCTCACATATCAACTGAGCATCTCCCACCCAATTCCTACCTCAAAATATTCATATCAAACATTCCCATCCTCATAAACAGTCACTTCTTTTGTTATTCTTGTCTTTTTCTTTGACAGAAAAACACAGCAAGTGATTTGACCCTTCACTCAATCATATCGTTGATTAATCCGCCCAAAACGAAATTATCTCTTTTCATATCCTCTCCCTACCCCGATAATTCAAAGTTTTCGTGATCGTTGACGATCTATCGATAACATTTATCTTTTCTCACCGCCACTATCTATCTATTTTACCCCATCTCATCCGAAAATAACTTCGCTTCCCTCAAACCCACCTCTACCTTAACCACAAAACCAACCCACCCTCGCAACAGACCACAGCAAGAACTTCTTAGCTATGGCTGCCTTCCCAATGCACAATTACTACAGACAATCGTCATTATCTGTCGATACTCAACCCCATAACTACTTTGAAGAGGACGAAGGAAGCATTCTTGATGACAACATCCTCGATCACTCTGCATTAGATTCCGGCTTAGAAATGTCTCCACCCATGGACAATAGCAGGCGGGAATCCTTTGCAGTATCTTCAACATTGTTCTCCCCCAAGGCTGATGAATGGCAACACGTCGACATGCAACCAATGGCATCCAACAATCCCTTTGTCGAGCACAACAGCAACAACCCATTCATGCGTATCGAGGCTGCACAAAACGCAACATATGGACATTCGAATCACGGCTGGGGTATGGGAAATGGATCGGGTATGAGCACACCAATGCAAGGTCATGATGGGCTTCCATCTGATTATGAAGTCAATGTTCCTATCTTTCAACGTCCCGTGCAAACGCCATTCACAAACCCTGGAAACCATCAACTACCTCTCTTCTCCGCCAATGGCTCAAGTCATCCATCTCCACAAAAGGACTGGCCCGTTTCAGAGATGGATCATCGTATTCCAAAGCGCATGCGTCCACACAGCCCAACTCTTCGCTCGCATCCTGAGATGTCTAGAAGGGGTGATGGTATCCGAAAGAAGAATGCTCGTTTCGATATCCCGGCCGAGAGAAATCTCAACAACATCGACCAACTCATCTCTCAATCTACTGATGAGCAGGAGATTAAGGAGCTCAAGCAGCAAAAACGTTTGTTGAGAAACCGACAAGCAGCGTAAGTACATCATCTGATCAATTATTTGCATTCATTGACTAATTATTATAGTCTTGACTCACGTCAACGAAAGAAGCAACACACTGAGCGCCTCGAGGACGAAAAGAAGCACTACACTGCTTTGATTAACGATCTTGAGGAGGACCTGGCCGAAGCAAAACTTGCTCTAGATGAGTGGGCTCGTAAAGAGCAACACTACCAACAATACATCGAGAGCTTGCAGATGGAGAAGGAAGAGATGGTGCGAGCTCACACTCTCGAAACCGGCGATCTCCGCAAGAAAGTGAGCGTCCTCACCGAGCACATGCAAAAGATGGAAAGCACTGCCATGTCAACTGTTCCCAGTTCGACTGGCTTCTCTGCCGACTACTCTGACATTGATGGACTGAACATGGATGGCAATTGGGACAACATTTCCTTCCTTAATGACTTCTCCATGGAAAGTGAGATCAAGGTTGAGAATTCGATGGTTTCCGCCAAGAAGGTCGACACTTCCCTTCTTAGCGAGCCAGAGAAGCCTGCTGCCCAAGGCCTCCTCTTGATGTTGCTCCTCGTCGGTGCTTTTGTCGCTTCAAAGGGTTCTTCTCCCAGCATTCCCAGAATGTCGGATGACGTTCGTGCTGCATCTGCAACACTTCTCGAAGATGTATTCAAGGATGCTGGCATTCAACAATCCGCTTCTGCTGTCTCTGATGTTACCAACGCAATTGCACCTCTCCCATCTGGCTCCTGGTCTACGACTCAAAATCCTTTGGGAGGTAACGAAATGGTCGGCGTCACATCATCAACTCTTGGAGATCTTGCCAACAGTCTTTCGCAACCAACAGAAGAGCAAAAAAACGAGCAACTCTTTTCATTGTCTGCAGCACAATACAATGGGTTGACTTCTCAAGATTTCCTCGACAACTCTCCCGCTACAAGATCAACCTCTCAAGGACGCAAGAATCTCGGTGAAACACTTGCTGCCATGCGATCGAATTCCAAGAAATCGGCCGCAGAGGTTTATACTCGATCATTGTTATGGGATCAAGTTCCAAGTGAGGTTGTCAGGAATTTTGCCAAGTTGGTCTCGGAATGTAATTCCAGGAATGGTCCAGAAGAGTGCGATACCTCATCGGGTTAAACTTTTCCAAGTTCTCAACCTAAATATGTCATCCAAAAAACTCTACTTCGACAACAACAATTTTCTTTTTTACTCTTCGGATAAAAACTTTACGGCTTTTACGATTTTACGGCTTCATTGCGAACAGAGACTTTGTTGCTCACGCATCTTCTCTTAATGTCTCAATTTGTTAATGAGCGAAACAGCGAGCGTTTGAATTTTTGCACTTGAATTTTCTATTTTCTATTTTATGGTTTTCATGGTTTACGGATGGTTATTTTCATTTTCTCCTGGTTTCTCTCTCTCTCTCTCTCTCTCTCTCTCTCTCTCTCTCTTACTGCATCATCGGCATCATCGATCATAGTTAGCGACGGGTCATCAAACTTGGGACTTTTTCTTAATTTCATATTGATTATTATTATTATTTCGCCAGGCATAAGACGAATATCAGATCGCAGCTGGACAGCAATGGGAATACATATATCTTGTAAATTGGACGGATGGGGATGCAGGATGGGTATTCGGAGGAGATGGATCTCTCTTGGATTGGAAACGGGCATTTGGAACGGAAGGGGGTGGCTACTCTACGCATAACACATCGCACACCACAAGCTATTACTAGCAACCAATTTTCCTTATACATTATCACTCAAAAGTTTCATTACGACTACGTTATCACGAACTATTTCATGAATATTATTTTATCAATACCTACAACGACCCAAAGATACAATCCACGCAAATACCCCTCTCCAAGTTTGTTCCAAATTGAAGCCTTTGCTTTGAAATACACGATCGATGATCATCTTCGCATATACATACATCCTATCCTATACTATCCATATACCAATACAGAATGTTTTACGTTTTACGATTACTCGCGATTTCTTTTCCAAGACTCACTCACGATGAGCAATGACATGCAATCATGACTGACGAATGAATGAAGAGGAATGAAAGATCTACCTCAAGGTACTATCGAAGAGACGTCGAAAGACCCAAAACACACCACATCGACCGATTACGATCAGATCATCGGGATTTCCTTTGAAAAAATCTCCTTTCCAGATTTCGGATATGTCGTTTTGATGCAGCTTTTTCTATATCTCAAGGGACTGTTCTTGTACTTAATTCGGTCCTATCTGTTGCTCTTGGCTTGTGTTGTCTATCATGGAATGGGGGGGGGGGGGGGGGGGGGGGGGTATGAGTTACTTGTTTAGAAAGTCGATTTTTTGTATTTATCTTTGACTTCACTCCACATATACCGTAGGATGAGATGAGATGGAACAATCAGATGGGAAAAATCACACAGGAATATAGTCAATAATACATGAGATTCATGTTCAAATTCTTCCCTCTGCTTAATGAGATTGTGAAAATGATGCCTAGATGGTGACAGTGATACGAGTACTTGTTTGTGACTTATCACTGCTGTGTTTGTAGATTGTGTTGCTTGAACGACTTTCACGGTTTGTCTTGCGTTCGTTCCTCAGGTTTCCTCCCCGGATTCAGTAAGCATGTACATGGCCAGTCATAATAGAGTTTCTCTCTAGACTTGTTTCCATGTTTGCCCGTGCCTTTCTCGTATATTTACTCATGTTCCGATTATCTATCGATATCTCCGTATCAAACAGCATGTGCCCACCAAACGGCATTGAAATCAGCATTCTCTGTCTCAAACCCTATCAACCAATCTTCTTCTCTCCCTCCTTCCATTCCCCACAATATCATCAGTTCGCTCCTCACATTCTACCTTCCCTTGACTCCACTCGTAAACCGGACGATCCAATAACCCTCCACTAACAGCCAATCAAACAAACTCCCTTCGAAATGTTTCATTCCCGTTCCCATCCAGGTCCTCAAAACGTTCGTCCAATAATTACCCCATCATTTCTGAAACAGACTTGTTTCTCTCTCGCCCCATACTCTTTACCCCGTGAAATACGTGGTGTTTCATCTTTCAGAAAGAAAAGTAAAAATTCTTCACTCCAAGGGTCATGTTGGTCTGTGGACCTCCATTTCTGCATGTGTGAGGTCTCCCCACATCTTTTTCATTACTTACCTAGCTAGGTAGTGTCTTTCGTGATTCCCACCAGTGACCCCACTACTCTGCTCCGGAGACTAGTGATGTATGGTATGGAGATGTATGCATGTATGGAGATGTATGTATGTGAATGTACATCGCCCAATTCGTATTCTTCTCACATGTACATCATTGTCGCTAGACACACCATTTCCAAAAGTTAAACCCTAGCCGCATTACCCTCCGTTGAATGCCGAGTCAATGCACCCATTCTTCCTCGTCAAGAGTCAAGACTCAGGACTCAAGACGCGAGAGGATCGCGGTCCCCACTATCGCGAATACATCTGCAGTAGATCGCAGTAGACTCTTCACCGCTTACAATGGGATCACATCGAACCTCTCAGGTAGAGTGGCAAAGACGATATGGAGTTGTAGGTTTATGCTACTGCAAACTTTTGTTTCGCAGCTTCGTAACTTCGACAAAGATCCGTAAGTTTACACTAGGAGATAGAGATAAAGTGTTTAGCAGCGGATCCGGTATACATCGCATGGCATTGCATTCACATAGCATAGCATATAGATTTCTTTTCCATATACTGACATGACATAGCATTTGTGTCTTCAATTACAACCTCTTTAGGTCTTACATACACATAACATCACAATACATAACCTCTTGGCGTAAGTTTGGCATATACATGACAGTACATAGCATCGCATCGCATCGCAGTACATGACATATACATGACATAGCATGCAAGACCCTTTTTTCTTCAACTCAACTTCGAGTTCGCCACAAATGCAAATCCAAACACGAATACCATCATGTAAATGCACCATGCAAAAATTCAAGAGTGGCCTACACATATCACAAATGACAAAAACCTGCAATAGCGAAAACTCTTCAACAACTCAATTTAAAATCACGTGGAAATCATACGTATTGTTGATGTAAAACATAACGGCTAGACCAGACGAAAGTAGACGGACATCCGTGCCGTATTCCAGCCACAGATCGTTCATTCGTTCATAGTCAGGTCCCATTCATCCCAAGATATGAACCGATCCGAGATTTAGACGGTTCTAGTACTCTCACGATTAGTGCTCCCAATATGATACGAAAGCCCAAAATGTAATCGAAAAACTTTAAAGGAAAACTTTTGGAGTTATTTTAAGCACTCAAGCTCGCTGCATCGTCTTGCCGTCAAACTATATCGTATTCCATTCTGCCATATCACATTTTTTCACACCCGGGCCACCTCCGAGTCTCCAACAACGCTATGGAAATCCTCCATGCTTCCCGCACTTAGCGTCCAGCCCACCTTCGCAGCAACCCAAAATTTTGCAGTGCGACGTTGAGTTGTCGTGCCATACATAAAATACATACGTATATGACGCCTTTCCCGTCGCTCGCAGCCTCGCATGCGTACGTAGATAGCCCAGTGAAAACTCTTTCGAATTGACTCTTTGGATTGGATCTCTACATCATACATGAAAAGATGAAACGTCCTAACTTTGAGCCTGGGGTACCATGTGAGAACGAACGAATACATCATACTTTGAATGTTCGAACGAATGAGAAAATTCAGAGAGAAGGAAAAAAAGCCAAGAGCCATTGTAGATCATGCAAATACATACATACATACATACATACTGCAATCCACTTACAGCTACATACCAATAAACAAGGCATAAGATAAGGCACCTCAACAGGATCTGAAACCGAAGCTCGAAACAATTCCCACTCCAATGCTTCGACACCCCGCCATAATGGATTACACAAGGCCCTTTGCTGTGCTGTGCCACCTGTGGACATTTCAGCACGACAGAGACTGCTAAGACGAAAACCTCGTGAGCATACGAGTCCAGTTTCTGTATGTCTCAGTCTTCACTACACCTGACCTGCGTTAACTTGGGTTGTCTAATGAATTCACTCGTACTCATGCTTAATTACTTAATGAGGTAATTGCTGACTGCAGCACAAGACTCATCTAAAGTAAACTAAAGCCAAGACCCTGATAAACCAAGGCGTAAAAGAAGAGAGCAGTTAAAATCAGGTTTAGTCGATGGATTTTGGAATCTCATAATGAACTAGTATTAAAAAGGTATGAATAAGCCAGCCCACTTCAGACACGGTGCGATACGTCAAGATCTCCAAGACACCAATCCAATGTGACCGTTTTCCATTTTGATGAAAATTAAAGATCAACGAATAGTATTAGCCAATATCAGGTCCATACGCGAGGAAAAGTCCCTAATCCAACTGAAGTAACTAAAGTGACCAAAGACCGTTCGTTCTCTCGATCCGACCCGAAGCTTAGCGAAGCAAAAGCCCCACTCCCAGTTCTTATTATCTAGAACTTCCGTATTTGGGTTTTCACTTCTTAGGATTGTATTTATCCTTCCAAATCCTACATTCATTGTAACCAGTAAAAATCAGCAAACATCTCTTTACAAGGGTACATTTCTAACCGACATTGCCGAAGAGACAATGAGAACCAATTGATTTTCCGTACCAATGTACCTCTAAAACGCATGAAGGTAGTGGACGCATATCATATCGTCGTACCCCACTTATTAAAACAATGAACGAACGAACCATCACTAAATGACTGAGAGCGGGACTGCCGCCAAAAAGCATACAGACCATAAGATAACCAAGCTAAGACAAGTACTTCATACAAACCGGAAAATTTCCAGAAGGGGCTTCTGCAAATTCTGGGTCCAAACAGGAAAAGGGAAAACTCACCAAGAATTGCCCAGTGTTTTTACACCCGCATTTTCGGCCTTGCGAAGATAGTACGCTGCTCGGTACTGCAAGAAATTGGAGTTAGCATTGACAGTGGTAACGGAAACCATAACCTAGAAAGAACCATCAGCCTCATCTTATGACTGGCTGGGAATATTTCAAGAGTTTGCAAGGGGTTAAGCATTCGGTTGAAGTTGCATGAGGGTGGCCCCATTGCTGCCCAAAATGCGACGTAAGGGAACCATGCGT